CCGCGTCACGCAATAGCTTAGAAATTCAAGCGTAGTGTATCACAAAATCAAGAACCCATTCGGTGCGAAAATTTGTCTCAATATTACTTTTCAGCTGCTCTTATACATCATTAAAGTAAAATCTCAGGAAGATTAATAGTTTTGTTTGTTTATATATCAATATCATGTGACGTTAATATACAGATAGGTCATGGCTAGCGTCATTCTGTGTTGAATGCCTCCTTAATGCACAAAGCAGCCTAATCTACAATTTCATCCTCTACTGCCAAGATCATGCAGCTAAATACAAAGTACTTCATCTCGCTTATGACTTTTTGTACTTCATCCGAACTACAGCTACAAATCTTCATTTGCTGTCTCATAACACAGGGTCTCCCTTAATTAACTCATCCATGTCGAATACACCCAAACTGAGTCGAAGACAGGCACGATTCAAGGTGGGCAGTTGAAACACAATTGTTTACTAAGGTTATGTAGTGATGAAAGAAAGGCTTTTACATTCCAAATACATCATAATTAAACGATATATGCGCGTTAGAAAAGAATACTCACCACATTACATGCAAGCTTGTTTTACACTGTACTCTGCTCAACACTTTTGTCTCCGTGAAAACGCGCTAAATCGATGTTACATGTACCTCATTGATCCTTAACTAACTTTTTTTACATTCACCTTCAAAAAGCAGACGCTGTGTCTCTATGTCCGGTAGCCGGACAGGTTTTTCAATCTAATCCGTGTCCGAATTCGGTAGGCTTCCGGCCGGTTGCGGTGGCGCAGCGGTACTAGGTTTCGCTTGCCATGCGGGTGACCAGGGTTCGATTTCTCTTGGGGTCGCCTGTCATAAAGTTCTTGATAAGTTTTTCTACTTTTTTTTTTTAAAAAAAAAAACATTAAGTCTCACTACCGGACACAGAGTATTTTAAAAAACCTGTCGGGCTGCCGGACATGTAGCCACAGCGAAAAGCAGAATGTCAGACAAACTACTTAGCAAAATAATTCGTCGAACGGATGGCGAACAAATCCAGAGCGTTACTCTGAATCAAATAAACAACACTTGAATTCATTCCAGAAAACAACTCGGGTCTTGTTGAGCTTTAACAATTGTACGATTCAATCACAACAAATCGAAGATGTATACGCCTCAAAAAGCAGAATGGTAGGCAAAAAAGTTCCGCACGCAAAAGAGCTCAAAAAATATCGAAGCCTCGTAACGTCACAAAGAAAAATAGTGTTCTGATTGGTTCTGCGATATATCGACAACATCCGGCTACATCCTAATATGGCCAAAAAAATATCACTGACGGAACCGGATTACACGAAAATAGAGCTGAAAGATCTGAGATTTTTTCTGCATAGCCATCAAACTACGCACGGCTCTATATCCTGCCGCCTCGACAGACTCGCGTTTTCGCTCGCCTGTCTCGTTGGCAATTATTCCTTCCCACCCAACATAGAGAAGCAAAACCTCGATCCGATCCACATGTTACGATGCAAATCCCCAATTCCGTATGTGCACACTGGTCTGAGATGGTCGATACAAGCACAAACACAAGAAATTAAAATTACGATCAAACTTTATTTCATTTTGCTCATATCTCTAGCCACAAACATGCCTTGCTACTATAAAAACATTTAGTTCTCTTTACCTTTCTTCAGTTCCTTGATCGACTGTTAATATAACCTAACTATACTCTGTCTGTGAAATTTTATCTCCAGTCCCGTTTAATGTGAAAAGAGCGGTTTTAATATGGAATGCCATTATCTGCTTGATAAACATACTTAATCTGGTCAAATGTTAATAAGTAGGGACTTGGGACAGGGGAGTTGCACTCTTCAGTTTCAAAATGAATTTTGTTCACTGACACTGTGCCATTCTTTCTTTTCGTGTGACGTCATCGCCGTCATGTTGATGGTCATTAACAAAAGATTTCTAATTAGCTGTTTTTGTTTGCACCACCAAAATGGCCGCCACGACTTTGTTATTCCGGTCTCTCGCTGGATTGGTGACAAACCACCTTTGATTTCTAATCAATACGAACACATGAAAGGTAAACCGGAGAGTGAAGATCAGAACATGTTTAACAGCAGTTGGTTTTCACAAGCACTCAACAATATCTTGATTTACCAGCTTATTTACTATGTAGAGCAATACAAATGCCCTATCTGGCACATGACATTTTCATTACGGAAATGTTTGGGTCTTGCAACGCTTCAAATTCCGACACGTGACAAAGTTTTCAATTTTGCGTAGAGACTAATAAACGTACATTTAAGCTAAAATAACTTCTTGAAATCAGAAATAAACGTTGATAAATTATTACAACGTCTCTGTTTCATTGTAGGATTCCAATTAACGGAAAAATCAAGTGCTTTAAGAAAACATATATACGTACTAAGTTTTTATTCCAATTGAAAGAAATTAGTTTTCTACGCAATGGCTTTGGCCTCCGGTAGGAAACCTTCCCAGTATTTGATCAGCTGTGAAAAAAAAAATTGGAAATCATTAGTTGACAAGGACATATTAACAAATAGATAGGTCACGATTCATGTATATCGCACTTTATTATCAGCAATCGTACCAACTTAGAAAGCTATAAGAGCATAATAGTTTATGTAAGCACTTATTTAGGCCGTTAATTGGTTATCGTCTATCTTATCTAGATATAATCGTCCGTATCAGAGATGGGTCTCTACGGGAGGGGGCTCTACGAGAGGGGGTTCTACAAGAGAGGGCTCTACAAGAGAGGGCTCTACAAGAGGGGGCTCTACGGGAGGGGGGGTCAAAGGGGGGAATCAAGTGGACGAGATTCGGGGCCGCCTTTTTGGTTTCTAAATTTCAACATTTTTGCTTTTTTCTGCGGCAGGAAATGGGCCAAGTTCGTTTGCCACCCTTCCCACTTTTGCTTTTGATTTCACCCAGAAAGTTATGCTTTCACAATTTTCCGGCAATCTTTGTTTCTTGTTTTAAGCAGATTTAGATAGTAATCGCTTTTCGAATCAACTTGCAGGTAGGAATCAATCATGTTAATAGCATTGACCAGTTCTTTTTACCGCGTGTAAAGGCCTTTTTGACACAAATTACTCAAGTCATCATTGTAAAAAACAAACAACCAAACAATAACAACAACAACAAAACTATTTCACGCTACCTCCCCTCCCTTAGTAACAAACCTGTTGCTGGCTTTCCATCATGGCCTCTAGGTACTTGACCATCGATTCACGGAAATCTTTCACTCGATTTTTCTGTCGAGGAAACGAAATCTTTAGACCAGTTTATTGTAAACTGGGTTTGCGTCAGCCAAGCTCTGAACGATTGCTTCAATCATCATGCAACTCGTGTAAACTGCTCCGACCAATCAGGGTATGCATGCTGTGATTTCAACCAATCAGAAGCAACAACCAAAACCAACCGTGACTTGCTGTTCGCGCGTTTTCCCGCGCTTTGCGCCGATGGCACGTTTTTGCTTTGAGTTCTTATTGGTTGATTTCGATACTATTCGTTCGACATGTTAAAAGAGATGAAAAAAATGGTTTGATTTAAGAACATTAATTTATTAGTTTTTTTCCTTCATTCAAATGCTTTTATTTCATTAGACTTGTAAATAGGCTAATTTTTAAATTATTCTTCGGTTTTGTAATTTCTTTTGAGGTAGGTGCCCTCTATTAGCAGAGGGTTATCCCTTGGCTAAACAATTTCGACAAAAAGTTATTATTATTATATTCAGAAGCTCAACAACTCTACCTGAAGTTAAATAAATTGCACCACTGTCAATGAAAAGTTCTTTTCTGCTGTTGCTTTTATTGTCCTTTTCACCGGTGTTTACTTATTTCTTTTTTATTAATTTGCTC